CTGAATTTATATCCTGCTGCGATCTGAATTGATTCTCAGCTGTTCGATGCCCTTGGGTGCAGCAGTGCCAATGTTACCTGGGAGGAGGGTTGGATTTTGAGTTTATTTTATTAATTTTAAGGAAAGCAGTCGTATGTTTCCGGTGAATGTACCAAATACACTGATTTTAGGAAATACAATATGGATGCATCTTAAATGTTTTTAAGATAGCCAAGTAAGAAAGATTGGGGAAGGAAAATAAGCCCCCGTATGCAAAAAGTTCCTACCCTACTCACGAGCAGCCCTTCCAGCCTCCATCCATTCAGGGCGAAGTTTTGAATAGGGCTGTCAGCTCGCTTCACACACACGGCATTAAGCCATCAAGCGGTTTGGGTTGGCTTCATGTAGCCTAATATGGTTTGTTCGGGGGAGCAGGCGAACCAAGCCGCTATCACTGAGCACAATGTGTGAGTGGCAGGGCATGTCTGTCCTCTGCGTGGAAGCAACTGCAGGTGATCGGCTTGGCACAAGATGCTACAAGGAAGCCATCACCTGTTTCTCAACCTTGGGAGCTCTCAGAGGTGTGGCCTTCAACTCCCAGAATTCCACGGCTGGCTGGGGAATTCTGGGAGTTGAAGGCCACACCTCTGAAAGCTGCCAAGGTTGAGAAACACTGCGTTGGCCACAAATTGTGGTTTTCAGCTGAGCCCTTTAAGACTGGACTCGAGAAACTGAGTTACTCATTTATTAAGGCACCTTAGTAATTGAGGACAAGAAGAGAGCCCCGAAAAGAGAAAGCGTAAATCTTTCATATCTTTCCAACAACAGCATCAGAATCAGAGGTTCCATGATTGGTCACTTACTTGAGCATGTGTTCTTAACAGCTAACATCCCATAATCATAACACCTTTTCAAACCATATGTGTCTGTGTCCATGACAACTGGTGATTTTCTGTGTCTGGGACGCTTAGTGGTTTTAGAGCAACTTTATTTTAGGCTTTATCTGAATACACCTCCACGTCTCTGCTCCTGTTCTTCTGCTAGCTGCCTTCACACCTGGTCAGTATCTTCCTGTTTCAACTCTTTTGCACACTTAACCACAGAGCTCGTTGGCATCTTCTGTTGAGGGGTGCAAGTTCAATAGTTTATGACCCCAGTCGGACTCCAACTCTATCAATTCACTCCAATTTTGCTGCCATCAACTGGTTTAGGGGGTTGTGCAAACAGACAGCAAGAGCAACTCTTGACTACTCTATGGAGGGCTGAGCAGGAACCAGGAGCTGCACTCAATTTACTCCCAGGTCAGGGCTGTGCAATCCTGCCCCTTTCTGTATGAATGGAAGCCCCTGTGATCAGCATCCAGAGAGAGAAGGGAATGGGGCTGGTGACCCAGACTGTGTGTGCAATCTCGCTGTCTTTCTAACTCACTGCCTATTGGGGGTTCAGGATGACAAGTTCCAGCACTACCACTCCCCAGTCAGGCCTGGCTGAGGTTTGGATGGGAGACCACTGGAAAATCCCAGGACGGTAGACTAGAAGGGAGAGTCAAAAAGGAATGGAAGAAGTCAATGGCCAACCCCTTCCACGAATCCTTCCTTGAGTATTTGTGAAGGATCTGGAAGTCAAGTTTGATGCAAAAAAGTCTTTACAGTACAACTTCTTTGTCCAATTCTTTTGGAGGGCCCGAGTCTGGAAAGGACGTAAAGCATTCCCTGGTGTCGTCCAGATGTGGGGGACTCGACTCCCCTCATCCTCAACCAACAGAGTGAGTATCCATTCTTGGCTTAAGATCCTGGGAGATGTAGCCAACAAGTCTAGAGGACACTTCCCCTGGAGCTATGTTTCTCAACCTTGGCGACTTCAAGATGCGTGGACTTCAACTGGCTGGGGAATTCT